CTGCAAGATTAAGACGTGACACAACATTCTCACCACTCTGACAATACAAGAGTTACACTGCTACTGGTATCATGTTATAATTTCCCTATATGTTGCACATCATAGTAAGACAAACATGACGACAACACTTACTTCGTGGACATGACAAACATGACGACAACACTTACTTCGTGGACATGACAAACATACAAGTCTGTACTCTGGTTTCTTCTGAAACTTTACAGTACGGTAAAAAATATCGTGTCGTAATTCTGTATCTTTCCTGTACTTTTAAAGAAATGTATTTTTAGAACTGAAAATTATACAAGATATTTCGTTACTTCCTGTCTTCTACTGTGAAAAATAGTTGCAAACTATTTATTCTGTAAATAATGAAATAGTTACCTATTGTGTTTGATAATTTTGAATAACTAGACTATAAATTTGTCTAAAAACTGATATTTATTAAGAGAAAAAACAAACACTAACCACTTTACCCATGACTTTGTTTACAGTTTTGGTTTATGAGTAATACGACAACTGATTTTTTTTTTAATTTTTTTCACTTATTTGAAAACATATTTCAAATTCTGTAATTAGAAAACTGAGACGTGTTGCATGTCAGAAACATTATCAAACCAGATACTACGCACTCCACGTTCACTTGCTTGACAGGAAGTGTCAGTGCTGCCTCAGCAAGATTCTTCACGTCCTAGTAAGGATGTATGTGCCACCACTTGCATATTCTCATTTTCCATCCCTACTCTTGGTAGTGGGATATTAACAACTTTTCCCCAGGTTTTGCCTTGTGTCACACTACATGTCTCGTCCCCTGTCACCAAGTGCTTAAAATATTCATAAATTACTGAAATCTGGTGGCGAATTTCACTATATGGCCCAGACTGGCAGTACAGTGCTATGTTTTTAGGTCTTCAGGTGTCAAAGTACAAAAACCCTGAACTACCAGTCACCTATTTTTTTAAGTTAAATGCAGTAAATAAATGAAGCTTTATGGTGCAGAGCAGCATCGTCCTCATCATTCAGCTGGGCTCGTCATCACTAGCAATGCGCTGACTCAGAACTTTGTAAAATATCTTTCACAAAAATTTAAACAGAAAATGAACACAAGTTCGGGATCTTCCAGGTTGAAGGTTATGCATGGGGGTAGGTTACTGCCTTCCTTACAAACGTATACGTTGAAAATGCAACATTCTGGAGGCAGGATTTATCATTACTGTTTCCTGCTCTCATGTGGTACGTTGGCATTCACTCAGAAAGAAAAAAAAAACTGTTAAAAAACGAAATTGATTCTATCTGTGGAAAATGTCGCCGTATTTTCTTTATTTCAATATACGTATATTGCATCTACCGTATGAAAAATTAGAAGTTAATGTTTAACTTACCTTGACTAGGTAATCATTAAATAATGAATTAACGCATGTATTAATGGATGACTAACGAAATTGTAATAACACGAATGAAAACAAACCACCAGAACGGGTGGGATTTGAACCCATGGCGAGAGTCGTAAAACTTAAGGCCAGTGCGTTAACCACTGAACCAGTTGGCTACAATAAGATTCTTTCAATACACAATAGGGAGGTTATTATGATTTCATGAGTGATGATGGTTGCTTTGAGGGGACGCGACAGCCACACTGGCGAAAGATTCATCTGTAAAAACCTGCATTTGTGGTCACAGTGGTGGCCCATACTAACCTCCCTATAGTATACAGAAATCTATCTAGTTGGATGAATCTTATTGTAGTCAGCTGGTTCAGTGGCTTATACACTGGCCTGCAGTTTTACAACTCTCTCGTCATGGGTTCAAACCCCACCCGTTCTGTGGTTTATTAATAGGTCCTCATTGATATGTTATTCTCGAGATTGCGGCCTATGTGACAAACTTATGCTGCAAGAATCTTCTCTTGCTGTCACCATATCTATGGAAATTTATTGAGACCAATAATTCCACCGTCGGGATTCGTTTGTAAAAATTTGATGCGCAGTCACAGGAAGCCTTAACATCCACCCAAACAATACTACTAACACATAGAACGTAAGACAAATAAATATACTAATTGATAGATTTACAGTTTAAGAATGAATTAGCTAGATTTAAATTGTTAGTAACTACTATTAGAATTAATGGAATTATTGTCTTAGACCTCAATGTTAAGTGATATTAGGTTATATTAGTTAATGAGATCGGAGATAATGATATATGGCAACTCCATTGTTGAATGGGGACAACGTGGAGTCATGATCTATAGGAGTTACCAATTCAGTGACCATGCGGTCTTCAAAATACTGCCTGAATATCATGTAAGAGGCTTCCATTCATCTCTTCCCAGGCTCCCTTAGTAAGATAATACTCAGCATTTCTCTTTATTTTGTTGGCCAACAGTATTTGGGGAAAAGTGGTGCATTTGAGCTTCCGGTAACTATGTGGGCAAATGCCCAACATTTTGAAATCAGTCCTTATGTGTACATGGTATCTGGAAATGACAGAGAGAGAGAGGTCATAGAAATCTAGACTGCTTGGGTAGAATCAGTCAGTTCTAGTTTGTGCATGCGGATAGGAATTTCAAGCATGTTTTTCAGTACCGTAAACAGAAGTATACCTTGAGGGTCACTTACGAGAATGGGACTCTAGAAGTCTTGCGTTGTCTGTGTCAACAGCGACTGCCGGAGTGGGCATCTCACACGATCCCACAAAGAACTTCTTTTACTGGTCCTTTGAACCGGATTGTGGAGTAGTTTAGCAGACTGGTTGAGTCTTAACATAGCTAAGCCACAGTTACCAGTGACTTACACAAGTTAGGTTAAAAGTTAGCTCACAGCTTGTGCTGAGTGACTTACACAAGTCAGGCTACAGTTAGCTAATTTGACTGCACAAAGAAACTAATTATTTACAGTGATTTACAAGCAGGCCAGAATTTGCAAAGTAGCTTTTTACCATTTACAGTAGTTGTAAGAGCTAGGCCACGTGTAGCCTAGTTAATTATTTACAGTGGGTTGCAAGGCCAAAGTTAAGTTAGAGTCTGCATACTATTTAAAACGGTTATAAAAGTTAGGTTAGGATCTAACTTATCCACTTAATCACAGTGAATTAGGCAAGCTAAGCCCACTTAGCCCAAGTTATTTACACACAAATTTATGTATTTGCTGATTTCATAAGTGGAATTAATAATTTTTATTTGTGCTAATAGAGTAAATTTTAATTTTGCAGAAAACTGCATTTGTTCTGTGTAAATTTAGTTGTCACTGGTTCATACTAATGTATGGGATTTATGACTTGTACAAGTGTAAAAGTTAAGTCTTGCAATTACTTGCTAACGGAAAACAGAAGTTCTTAGGTTATGCAGTGTAACCTTCCTCTGCTAGAGATGACATAACGATATTCATCTTGTAAACCTGAGTGCTAAACTGTTTCAGTTAGGTTTGTTGGCTGACAACATATATTTTGATGCAGATTCGAGTCAGTATATGATCAATAAAATTGTTAAATTTATTGAAGAGTGTCAAGATGCATTTGCTCTTACCTAACTTTGTATCGTGCGGTGGGGTGGGTTAATTAATGTTGTACGAAGTATGAATTAGTATTGCACTCGAACTACAACACAACAATGGTGAAAGAAAATCAAGCAGAGTCCGTTTCAGTGCTAGTGAAGTTAAATCGATCAGTGGCTGCACATAAAGGGCATCTAAACAAAGCATGCAACAGATGTAATAATGTAGATTGCAATGATTTACAAACTTGTCTGAAGCATTTCGATGAAAAGTTGCCTAGGTTACCACAGCTAAATTTACCAACGTCTGATGGTACCTTAACAGAGTACATTTCGTTTTAGGATCAGTTGAAGGCCCACCTAGATGATAGGAATGATTTGTCGGATGCTGTCAAACTACAGTATTTACAAATCCAGCTTAAGTCAGGCACTACCCAACCACCAGTGCTATTTACCAGCATCCCAAGAACCAATTGAAAGACATGTCTGGCGATACAGATGAAATAAAGTTACTCATACGGTATCGACTGATAGATTTAGAGAGTTGACGTCTTGACTGTTGGAGCTTAGACAAGTTTCTTATTGAGGTAATGAGTTTGACAAACAGCCTTAGAGATTTGCATGACTGAGGTAGTTTGGAATGGTTTGTTAGCCAGGCAATTCAAAGAAAACTAGCCAATACTACAATACATGAGTTACAACTGAAATACTGGATGAACTAGTTATGATATAAGAAGTCATTTATGAGGTGGGAGATCTCTTTTGAGATCTCTTGGGAAAGTACGGAGCCACTCAGACATTTGAAAGAGGATAAAGTTAAAATAAAGAGTGTTAAGATCACTGGAACCGACAAGGTTCCAGTGTGGACCTATGGGTCCACACAGTGGAAACTGGACAGTTGAAGTTTAACCAGTGTCTCCGCGATGAGAATGGCCAGACAGTGCTCATGCCCAGGGCCCACTGTGGGGGTATGAGGGAAGCGAACTTGATCTAGACTCAGCATCTACCTTCGCTGGCAGGAGGATGTGGAAATTTATTGAGATAAAAAATTCCACTGCTGGGATTCATTTGTTAATAATTTGATGTATAGTGGCAGAAACCCTTAACATCCACTCAAAGAACAGCACTAACAAGTAATTGAGAGACTGTTCAACTGCCTCCCAGCACACATAAGGGGGATTACCAACAGACCCCTGGCAGTCTTCAAGCTGGCACTGGACAAGCACCTAAAGTCAGTTCCTGATCAGCCGGGCTGTGGCTCGTACGTTGGTTTGCGTGCAGCCAGCAGCAACAGCCTGGTTGATCAGGCGCTGATCCACCAGGAGGCCTGGTCACAGACCGGGCCGCGGGGGCGTTGACCCCCGAAACTCTCTCCAGGTAAACTCCAGGTAATAAAAATGAATTAGGTAATTTTAAATTGTTAGTAACTAATATTAGAATTAATAATGTAGCCTTAGACCTCAATATGAGATGATATTAGGTTATATTAGTTAATGAGATCAGAGATAAT